CCCTTTTCCAAACGCATCGCAAGCACGTACCCATCTTAGCTGAAGAAAAAATCTTTTGCTAAATTACTTATTACAGAGGGCTGTAACACCATTGGAGACCTCCGTGTGCTGGGGGTGTTATTGTAGGGTCTACTGGGGCTGTGCACAAACACCAGCAGAGACCTCCGTGTGCTGGGGGTGTGTGTGTCTTATTGAAGGGTCTCCTGAGGTCTACAGTAACACCTAGATTAAGGTAGAGATTTTGTCCCCAGGCAGGGGATGGCCGAAGCTCATGCGCACCACAGATTGGCTTGTTGGGGACGTGAAGGTCAAAGGCAACCTGGGCTGCAATGACCATGGGATGGCGGACCTCGAGGATCCTAAGGACGAGGAAGGCGACAAGCAAGGTGGCAACCCTGCACTTCAGGAGAGCGCTTTGACTGCTTCAAAGATCTGCTTGGAAGAATCCTTTGGGATAAAGTCCCGGAGCGAAGGGGTGTCACCAAAATTGATTTTTTTGCGTTTTTCTTCTAGTTACTGTGTGGCTGTGGGACAGAAGGCAGCAGAAGTACGCACTCACTCACACCCCTGCTTTGGTCGGTTTTCTTCTCACAGCAAACGCACTTGTACAGATGAAGTCACTCTTGGCCAAGTTATCTTGCATACATCTTTGAAGCCATCTTTACCTTGGAATTTTTTAATATGGAGGGCCCAAAAAAACCACTTGATGTTCACGGATGACCTTCTCCAAGGGTCCTGGCCTGTATCAGGAACAGTGTGGCCAGCAGGACTGGGGCAGTGATTGTGCCCCTTTACTCGGCGCTGGTGAGGCCCCACCTTGAACACCGTGTTCAGTTTTGGGCCCCTCACTCCAGGAGGGATGTTGAGGTGCTGGAGCATGTCCAGAGAAGGGCAACAAAGCTGGTGAAGGGTCTGGAGCATGAGTCTTACGAGGACCAGCTAAGGGAACTGGGGTTGTTTAGTCTGGAGAAAAGGAGGCTGAGGGGGAGACCTTGTTGCTCGCTACAGCTCCCTGAAAGGAGGGCATAGCCAGGTGGGGGTCGGTCTCTTCTCCCAAGTGACATGCGATAGGACAAGAGGGGATGGCCTCAAGTTGCACCAGGAGAGGTTTAGCCTGGATTTTAGGAAAAATCTCTTCACTTAAAGGGTTGTCAAGCATTGGAACGGGCTGCGCAGGGAAGGGCTGGAATCGCCATCACTGGATATATATAAAGTACATGTAGGTGTGGTGCTGAGGGACATGGTTTAGCGGTGGACTTGGTAGTGCTGGGTTAATGGTTGGACTTGATGATCTTAAAGGTCTTCTGCAACCTAAATGATTAGATGATTCTAAGCTCAAGAGAGGTCCAACCCGACGAGTGGGAGGTCAGGCAGCTGCCAGGAGGGCTGTGTGGATGGACAAAGAGCTCCAGGCCCAACTCAAACCCAAAAGGAACTGTACAGATGGGTAACCTGGGAAGAACCCAGAGATACTATCCAAGCATGCAGGGATGAGGTCATGAAAACCGAAGACTAGGGATGTCAAAGACACCAAGAAGGGCTTCTGTAAGGACATGGTGACGAAAGGAACACCAGAGAAAGT